TTTCTAGATCTAAAGAAAGCTTTTGATATGCTCTGTCAAAAAATGAGATGCTACAAGATCTCAAATTTTTCACTTCGTTGGTTTGAATTTTATTTTCTTTATGAACAGAGAGGGTTTGTGTTGGACATAATTTGTCAAACTCTGAGCCTGTAAATTTTGGAGTGCCTCAAGGGTCAATATTGGGTCCTTTATTGTTTATTTTGTTTATAAATGATTTACCATTAAAAAATATTGACAGTCAAATTGACATGTATGCTGATGACACAACATTACACTGTGCTGGTAATAGTATCCATTCTATTTAAAATAATTTAAAAATGATCTCTGTTTAGTAAATATTTGGTGTAATAAGAACACCATGTTAATAAATCCAGCAAAAACCACAAGTATGCTTATAGGTAATCCCCAGAGGAAAAATATATTGGTCAAGCAAATAAATGTTAGTATAGATAATAAAATTATTCAAATGGTGAATTCACAAAAGGTATAAGGAATTAAAATCGATCACCACCTTACTTTGAAAGAGCACAGTAATCAAATTTCTAAAACAATTAGCTCAAGGTTGTTTATTTTTGCAAAAATCAAGAAATACTTAGATCAAAAAAGTAAAATTTTATTTCATAATTCTTATATTCTACCAATATTTGACAACTGCTGCACAGTATAGGTTAATTGTAATGAAGGATGCTTCCAGAGATTAATAAAACTCCAAAAAACAGCAGCAAGAATATTTTGAGATGCCCCTTTCTTTACACCATCGAGAGAACTTTTTGACAGATTAAATTGGTTAAGTTTCTGAGACAGAATTTCATATCATAAACTAATTCTAGTATATAAAATGTTACACGACAAAAGTCATGATTATCTGAAAAAGTTGTGTGTTCAGAACTCTTAAATTTATCGAAAAAATTTAAGATCCGTCTCAAAAAACAATTTTTACTTATTCGGCCAAACACAAATATAATGAAAACAATTTTTGCATACAGTTCTGCAATTCTATGGAATAACTTACCAATGAACATAAAAACATCAACATCCTTATGTTTACATAAATCTAAATGCTTCAATTATCTCCATCAAGCCACACAGAGATTAAAATTAACATGACATTAAGCTTATGTATATATATACTACTTGATTGTTTTTATTGTTTATTTGTATGTACTATATCATGTTTGAACTTACTTTATGAGGCCCCCAAGTCAGATTAGTGAAAAATAATTGGAATACCCTCTTTAAACAAAGAGTATTATTATTATTATTATTATTTTTATGTGCCAATGATAATACAACTGCATACCAAATATCATAGACCTACCACTAGTGGTTCGCCAAAAACTGACCTAATCACAAACTAATACATTGTTAACGCCGCCGCTGAAAACAGCATACCTATTTCTCGCTTTTTGACTACTTCAAGGCAAGACAAACAAATGCAATAGACAAAAAGATAAATTAGCCATACATTAGCATTTAGGGTAGGGACTCCTTTAAACAATCACTTGTGGTTTCAGTCAAATGACTTTATTATATATATAGATCTTATGTGGCTACGTATTATGTATGCTCATAGTTTTTATTTAAATATTTTTCAGGATAAATGAGTGGAAAAGGTATAATTGCTAACAAAATAATTTTCTAAGAGACATAACCCCAATAAGGGGTCAGTTGAGGATTCAGTCATATTTGCATTTTTATGATGTTATATTTATGATAAACAATAATTTTGCTGTTACAGTTTCTTCGTTATCTATAATAGTTTTCAAGATGATATGTAAAAATTTGTCAAAATATCGTTATTCAAGGCAATAACTCTAAATCAGGAGGCAATCAATGGTTTCAGTTATAGTGAGAAAAAAAATGCAGATCTAGTATTCCTGATAATTTTTGCAGCGTATTGTGTCTATCTGTAATAGTCTTCAAAATAATTGGCGAAAACCCTAAAATTTTCAATTATTTGTATAAGTGTAAAAATAAGGAGATGTTGTATGATTTATAACCAATGAAACAACTGTCCACCAGAGACCAAAGGAAAAGAATTTGAAAAACTACATCGCGTTGAAAGGCCTTCAACAATTAGCACATATACTGTTATCACAGAGATATGTCTCGCCTTTTTGTAATTTTGATAATGCAAATGTTGAAATTAAAATTGCAATACTTCAACATGTAAGTTATGCAAATATTCAAAGTCGATGAACCATGACTGAAAGTACATGGCTAAACAATCTCCATGAAAATGAGATGTGTCAATGCTAATACAACTGCATACCAAATACCATTGACTTATTATAAGTAGTTCCCTTAAACAAACATTAACACAAACCTTAACTTGTAAACTATGTAAAAGTTTCAAAGTCAATGAACCATGATGGGGGATGGGGCTGTATAATCTCCATGGAAACAATACTTGCAAATGCCATAAATTTGCATACCAAATATCATTGACTTAACATTAGCAGTTCATCTTAAACTGATCTTATCACAAACTAATACATGTAAACTAAGCAAAAATTTCAAAGTCAGTAGACCATGACTCAGGGGGCGGGGCCAAATATTCTCCATGGAAATGAGATGTGCTAATGCTTATACAACTGAATACCAATTAACATTGGCCTACCACTAATGGTTCCCCTTGGACTGACCTAATCACAAACTTATACATGTAAACTAAGCAAAATTTTCAAAGTCAATAGACCATGACTAAGGGTCAGAGCCAAATAATCTCCATGGAAATGAGATATGCCAATGCTTATACAACTGCATACCAAATATCATTTACCTACCACTAGTGCTTCCCCATAAACTGACCTAATCACAAACTAATACATGAAAACTTAGCAAAAGTTTCAAAGTCAATAGACCATGACTGAGGGACCAGGGCCAAATAATCTCCATGGAAATGAGATGTGCCAATGCTTATACAACTGCATACCAAATATGATTGACCTACCACTTTTGGTTCACCATAAACTAGACCTATAATCACAAACTAATACATTGTTGACGCCGCCGCTGGAAACAGCATACCTATGTCTCGCTTTTTGACTCCGTCAAGGCGAGACAAAAACCCATACTGTATAGTAAAGTATAAAAGACACTGGGATAACAAATTGTAAAACAATTGAAAGAGAAAACCAATGGACTGATTTATGCTAAAACAATAATGTAAAAACAATTATGGTACATAGGCAGCAACCAACGACAATCACTGGATTACAGATTCCTTAATGTGGACAGCCTTAAAGACTAGGCTTGGTTGAACATGTTTGTGACAAACAACTTACACATGACAAAATACAATAAGTACCAATTCAAGAGTACTCACAGACTTAAAAATGATATCCCCACTACCTACCACTAGTGCTTCCCCATAAACTGACCTAATCACAAACTAATACATGAAAACTTAGCAAAAGTTTCAAAGTCAATAGACCGTGACTGAGGGACCAGGGCCAAATAATCTCCATGGAAATGAGATGTGCCAATGCTTATACAACTGCATACCAAATATGATTGACCTACCACTTTTGGTTCACCATAAACTAGACCTATAATCACAAACTAATACATTGTTGACGCCGCCGCTGGAAACAGCATACCTATGTCTCGCTTTTTGACTCCGTCAAGGCGAGACAAAAACCCATACTGTATAGTAAAGTATAAAAGACACTGGGATAACAAATTGTAAAACAATTGAAAGAGAAAACCAATGGACTGATTTATGCTAAAACAATAATGTAAAAACAATTATGGTATATAGGCAGCAACCAACGACAATCACTGGATTACAGATTCCTTAATGTGGACAGCCTTAAAGACTAGGCTTGGTTGAACATGTTTGTGACAAACAACTTACACATGACAAAATACAATAAGTACCAATTCAAGAGTACTCACAGACTTAAAAATGATATCCCCACTACCTACCACTAGTGCTTCCCCATAAACTGACCTAATCACAAACTAATACATGAAAACTTAGCAAAAGTTTCAAAGTCAATAGACCGTGACTGAGGGACCAGGGCCAAATAATCTCCATGGAAATGAGATGTGCCAATGCTTATACAACTGCATACCAAATATGATTGACCTACCACTTTTGGTTCACCATAAACTAGACCTATAATCACAAACTAATACATTGTTGATGCCGCCGCTGGAAACAGCATACCTATGTCTCGCTTTTTGACTCCTTCAAGGCGAGACAAAAACCCATACTGTATAGTAAAGTATAAAAGACACTGGGATAACAAATTGTAAAACAATTGAAGAAGAAAACAAATGGACTGAATTATGCTAAAACAATAATGTAAAAACAATTATGGTACATAGGCAGCAACCAACGACAATCACTGGATTACAGATTCCTTAATGTGGACAGCCTTAAAGACTGGGCTTGGTTAAACATGTTTGTGACAAACAACTATCACATGACAAAATGCAATAAGTACCAATTCAAGAGTACTCACAGACTTAAAAATGATATCCCCACTACATGTATTCCGTAAACAGAAAGATGATGAATGATGGGTGTAAAAACCAATCAAATGGTATAACACAATTACCTGAATGTATTCCTATATTGCTCAGACGTCTCATGGCCTTTATTAGGATTTGTTGCTAGTTTTTTTAGAACTTGTTCAATGCAAAGCAAAACTAATGACTTTGGAAAACATCGTAAAACGTAGAATACAACATTCATCTAGTAAATTATTTTGGAGGAGTTAAAAAGCTTTTAAAAGTGTCCCTACTTTACAACATTACAATTGTCCACAATAAAATCAATAACTGTAAATTTGATCTTTTTTTAAATTACAAATATTCCTTCACCAATCCAATTCTAATCATGATGCAATCTTAAATATTTGTAAAATTGTATGCGATATTGTAAAGGCAAAGGGGTTTATCATACGAAATGTGAAAATGTGAATGGATGAACTAGCAATAGTATTCAAAAGCTATGTCTATTGCTGTCAGATGGCCATACAAGAAAAATATTATTAAAACAATATTTATTGTGTTATGATAAAATTCCCATGACTACATCTACACAATGGTATAAACAATGTCAAGACATACACACACATTTATGTATAGAAAATAATGCTAAAACACTGTTTTGTGACTTGAGTACAAATATGAAGCTGACAAAACTCATAATAAGCAATTAACATTTTTTGCAGTTCTCCTAAAATAGTAACATTGAAACAATTACATAATTAGTATGAAATGTTAAAATGCTATGGTTATTACAATGAAACCTTGCTTGAAACACCATGCATATTGCATTAATAGTTCTTCAAATAAAAAAACCAAGCCCTGTTTTTATTTACAATAATCCTGATAACAGATGTTTATAAATGTATAAAATACAGTTAAATAATAAAATTCAAATGGAAGCATGTGTTTCTTTAAAAGTTCAACAACTCTTACAATTCTTATATAGCACTTGTGACAGCTATTCTTGCAAGTTTCTTGAAAAGGACTCTTGCAGTGATGACCAAACATTGGGGAAGGGGGTTGTCATGGGGAACTTTAATAAAAATAAAATGTTTTTAAATTTAATAAATCAAGAATGAAAGCAGTGAAAAATACATATGAAACTCAGCCGGCAGTCATCTTTCATAACAATGGATAACTAAAAATATATTAGGATCCTGCAAATTGTATTGTATTATGAGAACAATTAAATTCTACCAGGGCTTAGCAATTTTTATTTGGGTGAAAATTTTGATAGCTGAACTGGCTTACCCCTACATTACCAACATATGAAATGTAATTTAAAATCTTTGTACCCCAGGGAAATTTACAGGATTACCTGTCGTAGGAGTTTACTTTCCCTGCATAATTTAATGCAATGCATGTAATATGTTTTTTTGCCATCCTATTTTAAATGCTGAGATACCTGAAGGACAAACAAAAGAATAAAATAGCCTAATGTCAGATTTGACTGATAATGATAAAATAAATGCACTTCATCAAGACAAAATACTAAACAACCATGCAAGGTAATTAATGGCACTAATTATAATATTTCAGAGTTCCTGAGCATGATAAAATATGAATTTCAAACTTTCTTCATGGCAAACATCTGCAAAATTTGACATAAAAATGTATGGAAATCATTTAAAACCATCTAACCTAGTAGCCAATCTTTAAAACAAATCACCATGTTGAATATCGTGACCTACAATACATATAGTTATTGTCTGTACTAATTTCTTACAGGTATAATGAACATAGGAGATATAACATGACATCTAGGCCAAAAGCAATGCCACTACCTTACAAATGAAAGACAGACATTTTTGGGGCATATTCTTAAAAAAAATATAATTGTAACCTGTCATATTTCTCTGATTAGTTAACTGATAAATATGGTTCTAAACCCCAATTTGGTATTTTTCAAAAATGTTTACATCATAATGAGTTTCATGTTGATGTGACCACAACTTCATGGCAACTACCATAAACAAAAGCTTTAATCAGATATGGGATGGACAAACAAATGCTGACCTGAAAACATGATTTCCTCCTGCTAGTGTAGGTGGGGCATACAAATTGATGTAAAAAAAATGTAAATCTTATTTCATTAAACATTTATTGGAAGAAAACAGTTGTTTATTTTGTTTATTTGCAAAAATGTGTAAGCTAAGCATATGTCAACCTTCAATATTACTATTAGGTAGTTTTCTATTTTTGGGATTCACTATAGCAAAGCATGGAGTTAAGCAAATATATAAACATGACAAATATGGGCAGATATTTTGTATCTGCAACTTCACCTTACCATGAAGTGTATGTCCATGTAACATTCAAGGAATATATTTTACATAATGCCATTGTTCATGCACCTCTGCTTATAAGTTTTTTATCTGATTTATTTTTACTGTTTCCCATGGCATATCTTAAACTTAACAATAGCTGCAAATATTGTAAAAGGTGCAGTCATATTGTATCCATAACTACTAATTCAGAATCTTTGATGTTCAGACACTGGGTGGAAGGTGTTGGTGGGATTGCAGTTAAGATGTGTAGGAATTTCTGAGCTGTGTAAAATATTATTCACTTAATGTCCTTCACTTTTATTTAAAAGTTGCAAGGTCAATGCAAATCTATTTTTTGTAGATATTAAAATGGTCATTTCTTACCTCTTCATGAAAGTTTATATGTTAGTTTATTTAATAACATGATTTAATGAAATTCATGTTTCAGTCTGTAAAAATAAAAATTACGTCATAAATCTGTGATTTAAAAAAAAACAACGGTAGAGCTGCCATTATGACAGTTTTTTTGTATATCTAATAATAATTTTAAAAAGCTATATAAAAAGTACACACCGTGCATTCATAATAATTCAAGACATAGAGTGGGTGACGCATATTCGCCGCAAAATTCGTTCATTTCCACCTACATCCGACCTACATTCGAATATTTTAAACTTTTTATGTAGGTTTCAGAAAGTTTACTATATGAAAAAAATGTTTGATAAAGGAATTCTCTTCAAAACATTGTTTAAATGTTTTAAAAATGAACACAAACTCAAGAGGAAATCAAGTTGTTCTTGTACCATGGGGGACACATTTTCGCCGCTTTGTATGATATGACCATCCTCATTATCCTTGTATATTATAAAAACAATTGTTTGCAATTACATGAATTAGCTTGAAAGATCATTCCTATACGATTTTTCTAACAAATATTTACTTTATGACTGCGCATGCGTGCCATATAAATCTTACATAATTGCCAAAATTGTTCAAAAACACCTGCGTATTTCTTTATATGCGCGAATAACATTGGAAATGGGGTAAAGAGGAATATCAACAGTTCGAACATTATAAACACCGTTTAGCATCTATTTAGGCAAGTATTGGGTAAAGGCACACGAAATTTACAGAAAAAAATGCAAAAACGGAAAATGTGTCCAAGGCGAATATGTGCCACCCACTCTACTTATTGTCTTGGATTTTGCTGGTATTGTTGAAACATGAATTTAAGTCTATAACAAAATATAAATTTTCTATAGGCTTGAATGCAGAACATGTTAAAATACAAAAGCAAGAATCCACAAAAACTGATTCCAATCTATGAATATTTGTAAATGTTTTGTACCTACAAAAAATAAACGAATCTAGAGTAATCTGTAATTTTTTTTTCACAATATCTGACAAACAATATTGGCCTATTAGTTATATATGCAACAAATACAACTAATGGTATACAAAATGACATGCACAAACTTTCAACAGTAAACATTTGTCCTGCACCAATGGTAAAAACATCTGAAAAGGAAGAAAAGAATGGATGACTTATTTCTATATCTGCAAATGCACAGTACATAAAAGTTCAACTTACTATATAGAATGGCTTATAAGAAAAGGAAGCTTTGCTTTAAAATATTAAATGATTCAAAATCAAAATTTCTAAAATACATGTACTAAATAACAACAAAATGTTGACAATGAAATGATACAAATTATTCTGATTACTTTTGATACATTTTTTTATTTTTGACAAATTTTCTAGCATTTTTTTTCAAGTCTCTGATATCCTCAGAATCTCCGTAATCCGATTCAGAATCTGATTCTAAATCCTTCTGTGTGTTGTCATCTATAAAAGAATCATTGTAATCATAGGTATTAGGTAGGCCATCATCCTCCTCATCTTCATCAGCGGTTTTAGCTGAAATAGAAAAATTCCATATTTTTATCAAATTACAGTTATGCAATATATATCAGTCAACCTGGTTGAAATAAACCTGGTCAGTGGTGGTCTTTAACTTAATCTTAATGGGTTTTTATTGTCATGAAGATAATCTTTAAATTACATCAGGTCTTTGATAGTCTCTTGTGAATTTATTCACAGCTTTTTTAGACTCTTGGTGATTAAGAACTTGTCATATTGTGTAGACATAAAGATAATTTTTTTCAGCTGTAGATGTCCTTTGTATTGTTGGGTTGCTGTTTTATTGATATATTACCCCACATTTCCATGCATTCATTTATATCACTAACAGGTCAATGTCTCTATCCACTGCCAAAAAACAATAACAAAAACAAACACGAATGCACACGCTGAAATGTCTCGCCTGCTTTACTGACCATTGATTTTATGCTGATAGTCCTAAATATAAAGTTGTACTACAAGTATCACATAAACTTAGCATGATAAAAGAAAATGAGGTCAAGGTCAGATAAACCAAGCCAGAAATACATGTACACATTAAAATCATTCCATGCACCAAATATAGTTGATCTATTGCTTATAGTATACAAGAAACAGAATAAACCATGAAAACTTTATATTGAGCAAAGAACCATGAAAATGAGGGCAAGGTCAGATGAAACCTGCCAGACAGACATGTACACCTTACAATCAGTCTATGCTTTAAATAATAATAATAATATAATAATTATTTATTTAAAGAGGGTTACACAGTTAGCTATAACACTAATCTTCCCTGAGGCCCTCATGAAATGCATTGAGATATAACAAAACAGATAATTACAAAATAATCAAACAAACACACACATAAGAAAAATCAAATAAGAAATTGTTATGAAATATACAATTTTCAAAACAGGTAAAAAATGATGAATTCATATAGTGTTGGCATCAATCAAATTACCTCAACAATATTTAAAGTTTAAGTAAGCGTGTGAAAATTATTATGCATATAAAATTACACAGCTTCTTAATGTTTCAACAAGTAATTTTTTTAAATCTTTTTTGAATGAGCTTGTACTTGAGGTTGATTTTTTCAGGGATATTGGTAAGTTATTCCATAAAATAGATCCTGAATACATAAAATATTTCTTATACAGCTCTGTTTTGGCTTTTGGAACTTACAATTTTTTGCAAGACATATTCCTCAAACAATATTGGTTTATTTCTGGCATTACTTTAAATTTTTCAGTTAAAGCCAGATTTGTTTACCAAAATTGAGTTAGGAAAGCATAAAGAAAAAATGTGACGAACACAGCGATTTCTTCCAACTAATTTTCTTTGTTTTTACCCTTATTGTATAATTACATCAATACCAAAACAGAGCACACTATTACAGCCATGTCTACCGACTGAATTGACATATGTTAATTTTCTAATAAATCATCGTAAACTTTATTTATGTCACCCAACATAAAAAAAAAATAATAATAAAATCGGCTATATTCGACGTCAAATAGAATTTTTGTTCTATTGCTTCCAGAAGAGGTCCAGATTCATTTCTTTGGACTCTTCACCAGAAGACATTCTGGAGATGTACAGAAGAGACCAATAAAACACGCCCTTGGTTCTGCTGGATTTAAACGCAGCCTTTGTCTTGTACCTATGACCATACATTTAGCTTTATCTGAATTTATCCAAATATAGTTGACCTATTGCACATAGTATCTAAGAAACAAACTTAACCAGGAAAACTTAAGATTGATCAATGAACCACGAAAATGAGGTCAAGGTCAGATGAACCCTGCCAGACAGACATGTACACCTTACAATCATTATATGCTTTAAATATAGTTGACCTATTGCATACAGTATCTAAGAAACAAACTTAACCAGGAAAACTTAAAATTGACCAATGAACCATGAAAATAAGGTCAAGGTCAGATGCTTACTGCCAGACAGACATATACACCTTACAATCATTCCATAAATCAAATATAGTTGACCTATTGCTCATAGTTTAAGAAAAACAGACCAAAACACAAAAACTTAACATTGAGCAATGAACCATAAAAATGAGTTTAAGGTCAAATAAAACCTGCCAGACTGACATATACATCATAAAATATTTTCATACACCAAATAAAGTTGACCTATTGCTTACAGTTTTAGAAAAACAGACCAAAACACAAAAACATTACTTTAACCACTGAACCATGAAAATGAGGTCAAGGTCAGATGACACCTGCCAGTTGGAAATGTACACCTTACAATCCTTCCATACACCAAATATAGTAGACCTATTGCTTATAGTATCTGAGATATGGACTTGACCACAAAAAACTTAACCTTGTTCACTGATCCATGAACTGAGGTCGAGGTCAAGTGAAAACTGTCTGACAGGCATGAGGACCTTGCAAGGTATGCACATACCAAATATAGTTATCCTATTACTCATAATAAGAGAAAAATTATCATTACAAACATTTTTTTTTCCAAGTAGTCACTGAACCATGAAAACGAAGTCAAGGACAATGGACATATGACAGACGGAAACTTCATATCATGAGGCATCTATATACAAAGTATGAAGAATCTAGCTCTTCTACCTTCTGAAATATTAAGCTTTTAAGTAGTTAGTTAATGTCGCTGCAGCCGATGCCTCCGGATCACTATCCCTATGTCGAGCTTTCTGCCACATAAGTCGCAGGCTTGACAATAAAATAAAAAATTGAACACTATATCTGTTGCCATTCTTTATGACAATTCATACCATATCAATAAACTTGGAGAATGAATGTCAATAAATGGTGTAACCTAAACTAGTTAGCACAGCCATTTGCGCTATTTTCAAACCAATTACCGGTAATATCTTGCCAAAATAATTATCCATATTCTGCAGTATGTAAATAACAACCTATCAATTTATAGCGTTAATAATATATACAGAATAGCCTTTAAACCATTAAACTACAAGCATTAGGAAAATAGCTCTAACTCTATAGTACCATTCAGTCTATTTCCAAATATAAAACAATGTCGGACATTTTTAAATTGTATTTTTTTAATTTTTTTTTTTATTGAAAGTGTCATCCATAATGAACCTATTTAATTGCATATCAAAGTATTTTCTAGATGAAAGGTCATATTCTAAAGTGTGAGGTCTTGCATGTGCAAGTAATTTGGTTTAATTATGTGCAAAGCAAATAAAAAGGGATAATAACTATGCACAAGTTTAGATTTTAATGACTTTGTTTGTGACTGGATAAAATCACAAAAGGATAAAATTACAAAAGTAACAAGAGTAGATGCAGCAGTAAATTTAAATCAAATTTTGTGACAGATCTGCAAAACAAATATTAACAAGAAGAATGTAATGTTTGTGTGATGTTTGAGGGATCTGAGTTGAAAACTGTAGGAGCAGTTGATAACAAAAATTTGGTACCCTGTTTTGTAAATTTTGGTGGAAAATAACTAGGTTCCCAAGTACAGAAAAATGTTAAAAAAAATTCTTCAAACACTTTCATACAGCTGGTGCACAACTTCAACACGTGAACAGTCTTTTCATGAAGTCTTAGGGATCTTAGTTGAAAACTGTAGAAGCAGTTGAAAACTTGTACATTCTTTCATAAATTTTGCAAAGCTACAAAGACGGAAAAAGGAAAAAATTCTTCATACAATTCCATAATAACAGGTACACAACTTCAACATAATTATTATGTTCAATCTTCCTGTGAAGTTTCAGGGGTCTGGGTTGAAAACTGTAGAAGGAGTTAATAACACTAAACTTGTACCCTCGTTCATGAATTTAGCTGAAAAATTACCAAGTTCACAAGTCTGGAAAAATGAGAAAACAATTCTGCAATAGCAGGTTCACAACTTCATCATACGTGTAATCTGCCTGTGAATTTTCAGGGAGCTGGGTTGAAAACTGTAGGAGGAGTTTATTACACAAATTAAGTACCCGCTTTTCCCTACCAGGCCGCATGCCAATCTGCCAGCCAATCCGCCTGTTTTGGACTTTGTCCAACCGGGCCAAACAAAATGCACCATACATAATTTAAAATACTGGTCTTGTCTGATCAAGAATTTAATTTTCAACATCAAATGTTTACAAATATGCTGAACTTGTGAAAACACATTTACTTTCAGAAATGCATTTTCAATTTGTAAATTCTGTATATTTTTCTTAATATTTGGTGGATTCAAACTGGCTTTATAGTTGATGCTGTTCAAACAAGCTTTTTTCCACATGATATGGAGGGGAAGGGTGTATATTATAGACAAATAAGGATTATACATGGCTTTCTTCAGTACATTATGTACTTGATAAATATACAACAACAATGAAAATGTGAACAATTAAGCTAAGCACATCTAGCACAAGCAATACAACAGATGTCACCAAATTGACTTTTAGTTCCTCGAATTTTCATGGAATACAAAATAGTGCTCGCCAGCAAATACTGTTTCTTCCAGCATTTTTTTGAAGGACCAATTCCGAATGAAAATGCATATTTGTTTCTGGACTTCTTTTGTCAAAATACAAAGTTTTACTTTATCTACTTTTCAATCAAGATATTTATGTTCTCAAATACAAAAATGTGGCACAGGATAAAGACATTTTTGTAATTTGTAGCAGTATAATATCTGAAGCTTGATTTGCACAAAAAATAAATGGGAAATTGTAAAGAACGAAAAATCAAATTGGTTTGGACTAAACTAAACCACAAACCTGCTTTAGCCTTGCCGAAGATGTTTTGTTTACTTTTGTCTTTTCTGTTACAATAAAATTAATAAATTTACATTTAATGTTATTTTTAAAACAATTTTGAAATTGCCTGCTGAAAAAAACACAATGTAAACAAAACTATTCATAAAAAAGCCAATCATACAAGATTTGAAACATGACATGCATAAAAATTACCTACTGGTAGTATTATAGTCTGTTTAAAGCAAGAAAAATGTATAGGCAACATATTCTAGTCATAAAACGTGTACAATCAATACCATTCACAAATCACTGTCGGAGGATTCATTATTCTCGTTGGATACCAATTTCCTTGGATTTCATGGGTACAGGTGAACCAGGTATTTAAATGTTCAACAAATGACACATCTTTTATAAGGTTGTGTGCAGACTTTGGGAAAACACAAAATTAAATATCCATGAATATGCAAGTTTTTCTCAATCCTCAAAAATAAATGTATCCACAGTACTTGAATATTGCTCGGTAGTACAGAGAAACAAATACCAAAATGAAACTAGACTAATCAGTTTCCTGCAAGGACATATACTTTAGATATTACTAATATAAATCAATGGTTTCCTGCTAGGACAAAATTGTACCCTTTTTTTCATTTTCTGGAGAATGTCCATCGGAGAATTATGTACCCTTAGTAATCTCTGATTAAACATAACTAAAATACACTTCTTATGTTCGTGCTAAATTGATGTGTAAAATGCCTTCAAAATCTACTGTTTGGAAATATGTTATACAAAGTATTGACAGTAAAACTGAAAAAAATGTCAACTATGTGAAGTTGAAATGACAAACTGTTGTTGGAAATGTTGCACCATATTAGAGCAAAATATCCTTCAGAAAGTTGTGAAAATGACTTTCCAGAAATAGACGGACAAGTGACCCCTAAACTTTGCAAATGTGTTTTCTTTATGATTGAAAAATGTAACTGTTGTTTGGTCTGGGTTGACTTTATAATCATTTATTTCAATAAGTGATAATCTAATTACTGATTAGATTATTGTTTACTGGATTAGAACCTGGAGTAAATGTGCTATTAATATGGTATATAATTCCTAGGCTATTGCCTAGCCTTAACTTATCTATAAATAATATAGAGTTTTTAATTCATCAGACAACAACCCTAAAAATGTATTAATGCTTAACATGGTGTCCAATTGTTTTCCTATTTGGTAGATATTGTGCCGAGGGAGTACTAAAGTATTGCTTGGTAAAACCAATGAGTACTCAATTAGAAATTCTTCATTGAGTTGACATCCCTAATTGTAACCCTTCCAAGTCAAAGAATTCCTCAAGAGATGTATACATTGCAGATAAAATACCAGTCCATTTAAGAATCATGCAAAGGGCTTCATTGGTAGAAAGCCTACAAATGACATTTCTGATATCTTATTTAGGATATTAAAGTTTAATGAAATTCATATATAATATTTCATATGGAAGCTTACTAGGAGTAGGTGAGATATAAATTCTATAGAAAGCATTATAAAATGCATGCTAAGGGAGATGACTTTAATAATACCCTATAAAATCTATGTTGATAATCTATACTTGCAAGGCAGTTAACGAAAAATATCACTAATTCCTTTAATCTACCTCCATATTGCAACTGATTGACAAAAGTAACATTTGTAAACTTCTCGATTTTGCCTTAATTTATATGGACTTCTACTTAAATGTTCTCCTAGGCACACAAGTAAACTTTTAAATAAAATGTGTTTATTGTATGCCTATATGACATTTTATTTCAATAATAAATAGACATGACAATGGCCTACTTTCACTTGAATGATCAGAATGTATTTGTGATATTATACAGTTGAACCTTGTTGTGTCAAACTCGGGTGTGTCAAAAACTGTGACAAGTCAATGCATTTTTTCAGTCTCAGTAAACAAAAAGACCAGGATGTCTATGTAAGGCAAATGTCATGAATTTGCCAAACATCAGAAGCATTAATTGTCTAGTAAACTATGTTGGAGAATTCAAACAGGTTTTTCAACACAGGAACATCACATTTGTAAATGGCCCATGTGACAATAAATCAAAGACATTTATACAGGTCATCCAACTACCTTGAACACACAATTGTATAATAAAAATAACTGTTGGATGTGTTCTATTTCTCTTTCAGCATTTAACTTTGGCCTGGCTTTTACATTTTACTGTTGGCTGTGTTTTATATTTTTATTGTTTTACCATTTAACTTTGATGTCTATCTTATGTTGTGTTTTCTGTGGTTTTTTGTTGTTGTACGTTTAAAACATGCCAGTGCAAATATATTTTACTGTTTTGAGTGTTTTATGTTTTTCTCTTACCATTTAACTTTGGTGTCTCGTTCTTTATTGTTGAATAGTTTTCTTTTTTCTTGTTTTACCTTTCAACTTTAGTGCTTATCTCTCATTCTTCAGTGTATTTTTTTTATGGTTTAATCATTTAACTTTGGTGCCAATCTTTTATGTTGGTTTTTTGTTTTATTTTACCTTAAAGATGTGTTGCATACCTTCTACTATTGTGTTTTATGATTTGTCATTTTACCCTAACTTTGGTGTCTTATCTTTTTTCTTTTTTTTTTATGTTTTCTGTTGTTTTGTTTTACCATTTAACTTTTGTGTATTGTAAACCAACTAATTTCAGTGACAAATTTATTTTCATAACATTCGCAAATAGAAAAATAACGCGAATTTTAATCGTCATGAATATGTAAAACTTGGATCACCCTTATTCAAATACATCAAGTACATTCTAAAATTGCAAAATCAAATTGTCCTGAAGTGGGCTAGAAAGGGCTAAATATGAAATTAAGTATCTGCAAAAATAAGTTGGTTTACAGTATATCTTTCATTGTTGAGCATGTTTTATTATCTACTTATCCTTTTTCATTCCTTTATTTGATAAAGTCTAATGTTTGATTTTGTCAGTTTTTATGGATTTGAATTTACCTTGGAGTTCGGTATTTTTGTTATACTTTTTTTTTTATTTTGGTGCATAACTAGTGATCTTTATTTTTGATCACAGAGCACTCAGCCACCTGGGCCCCTTCAAATGGCGAGTATATTATCTTACCTATTTAATGATCCTTCATCCACACTATCATCACTGTTTATATTATCATAACTTTCATCACCTGGATGACTATAGTCTTTAAAATGGGCTTCATTTTTCCTGGAATAAAAATACATTTCGTAATCGAAACTGTTTTCTTTTGATAAAAATGTTAAAACTTCTCTGGCTATTTCACAAGCAAACTGCTACCTACATATTTAGTTCAAGTATGAGAAATTTGGGATATCAAAACAACACATTGCTCGTTTGCATTGCTTAACAAAAGTTTTGAATTTTGGGTCAGGTGACCTAAAAAGGAGATCCTTTGTAATCCTTTTTTTGTTATTTTATTTTTTATTTGATACCTATATAAATATGTCAGTCATCAGATTCTCAATAATAAATTCATATTTCATTCTCAGAATTAACAATACTCACAGGTAATACTAACCTATAACATTTTTTACCAAACATGCAACGCTTTCTATGTTTTCTTATTTTCTTGGGCTTTTTAGGTTTTTCTTCTTCAATAGCTTTCTTCTTTCCTTTTGTTGCTTTTTGTTGTTTTACTTCTTCTTCAGACACTTCCTTTTCTCCAGATTCTGATCCCTCTTCTGATGAGGTCTCCTTTTTTGAAGGGCCTTTACCTCGTCCTTTTGGCGGAGGACTTGGTTTTTTCTTAGCTAAATAGTCTCTTTTACTTTGTTTTGGTGAAAAATCTTCTTCGGAAGATTCCTCCTCACTTTCATCGTAATCTTTGAATTTTTTTGCTGCTTTGACACTTGCCCTCCTCTGACTAGGTCGGGGGACATATTCATCATCATCGTCTTCATCAGAATAATCAGAACCGTATCTTCGTTTTTTCTTTTTAGCACCTCTGCCTGGAGTCCTTCTTGAAGGTTTCTCTACTTTCATCTGAAATGATATTTGAAATCCGATATATTTCAAAGAAAAGACGGCTTTGGAATTTCCTACAGCACATCATTGCATAACACCCTTTTCTTGAAATGTCTTTGTATTCAAAATTCCAAATGCTTGATTAAATAAACCTTAAGTTTCAAAAATTTAATAACTGTAGGCTCCAAAGAACCTTCATCAACAAACAAGTCCTTCAATACTATCCATTTAACTTCAATTAAAAGACAACATAACTGCATCATTTCCAGGTCATTTTGAAAGAGATTAGCACCTTAAAGGTATTGTTAAGATTTTTATTCTATATTCATTTTATAAAATTAAAATTTGGTCTATATATGTGAAAGGTAATTTTTAGTCAAGATGGACTTCTTGATTGGTGAACCTTGGCTGCAATTTAAAACGCTTTCATCATTGTGTGTATTTTTCTCAAAAACTGTAGATAACATTTTGAATAAATTCCTTATTACATCATCAAACTTTTTCTACATTTTGGTCGTGATGCATATCTTAAAAGGCAGACAGGATAAACTGACATAACTCTGTAAAAGGACCATAATAGCATCGTTTCACCAATATTTGGTTCAAGTAAAGTAATTTCACAGATATCAGAACTGAACTACATATAGGTAAACAAAATATTAAGTATTATCTAAAGACAAATGTTGATGAAGTCCTGACTTGGGATAGACACACTAACATGCAAAAAGGTTGGAGCACTTAATCCCTTCTACCCATCTCTTTTTATAAGACATGTTCCCTCTTACCCTGCCTTTCTTATTTGACGTTTCCCAGTCACTTCCTGACTCTTCCTCTTCTATAGCAACAAAATCACTGTCATTATTCTTCTCAATGTCTGGTGATTCTTCTTCAGAACTTAAATCTGGTATAACAATATCATCCACTGAAAGATAAAAAAATCAGGATGTTGAATCTGGTGTCTCAAATTATTAAAAAAAAAAAAAAAAAAAATGATATTGACTCTGGTTTAAAAAAAAATTGAACAGAAAATCAAATTTATAATAAAATAGATGAGTCAGTTGAACATGAATACCCCTGCCTGCTAAAAATCACATATATTCTCCTTTGTTCGATTATTTTTTCTGATCTATATAATCTTACTGGAAATTCATTTCATAGCATCTTTAGATTTTTTCTTTTTCATCAACATTTCTGTATATCATATTTGCTTTACATGTCTATTTGTTTTACCAAAGTCTTTTTCTTTTATACACATATTCTAGTTTTTTTAACAAAGGACTGGTTCAATAGTCTATCTTAATATTCTAGATAGTTGTCTTCGTATATTTGCCCAGTGGTTGCTAAAATTACCATAACTCCCCCTTTTCTTTGCTGCAGATCTAGCCGGTCTCCCTCTTCTACTAGTTGATTCATCGTCTGAGTCATCTCTTCTTCTTGTTTGTCTCCCCTTTTTCTTTTTGGGTGGTGTTTCCTCCTCAAAGTCATCCTCTTCACTTGATGGCTCTCTTGCCTTCTTCCTTGGAGTTGGCCCTACAAAAAAATAATTTATTATTTTTCTTTTCCCTTTCTTTCAACTTGTTCAGTCTTTATAGTAATCTTATAAGCAAGCAACTGGATATCCAACTTAATTGCCTTTCTATAAAATAGGTTTTCTTTTTTTTCCCTTCTGATCAGTTCATTTCTTGTTTGATCATTATCTACCTGGTAGTTTGCTGCAGTCCTTATAACTGTATCTTTTCAGATAGTCATTTTTTCAATGCCCACGCTTTTAATTTCATACAATTCTACATTCACCAACTTTACGATGAAGTCATAAAAGACAGATTTGGAAATACTGTGGATTCATTAATTTCAAGGCACCAATTTTTCATGGATTGAGGTAAAACAATATTTTCTAGATACCTGATTTCCTGGTTCTGCCAAAGTCTACATATGAACCAAAAGAAAATTTGTACTTCGTCGAAATCTTAAATTTGTGGTTCACATTAACCCATGAAATTCAGGAAAACTGATATCCCGCTAATAATAATGAATAATCAGTACTTCTAACCTTTTCCTTTCTTTTTCTGTGGCTTTCTTTCTTCTTCATAATCCTCATCATCAAAATCTTCATCAGAGTCAACTTTCTTTTTACCTTTATGATAAAAGAAAAACTTGACGATATTAAAGTTTTCAAATATTAAGCAATTTTTAAAAGGAACAGTATCAAATTAAAAAATCAAGCTAAAAAACAAAATATAAATAATTTTGACAAAAATGAACACAATGTCATGCTAAGCATGTCCCCGTTCGTAAATCAGAAAAGCACACACATGTTATAACTTATCACTCCCAAGCTGATGACCAAATATGAAGTCATTGCATTCAGTAGTATGTGGCTGATGAATTTCATTAAAAGTATCGGCAAACAGTAACTAAGGCGTCTGACAGATAGGAAAAGAGATCACATGTAACAACTCATTACTGCTAAGCTGCTGATCAAATATTTCCATCATTCTGTTTGAAGTGTGATGGAAATATTTGTTGAACTAACAGATCCTATGACGAAAATGAAATATAGCCCCAACTGCAAGATTCGTGGTATACTTATTACAATAATTAATCACTCTCTGGGAAAATAAGGGGACAAATACCAAAGAAACCATGCTAATGTAACCTTCCATCTTAAAATAGTGTCCTGCTGCCCTATAACTTTTTTTTATACTTTGAACTGTGTTTATTTGCTTATTTTGGTTGTCTTTTCTAAATAGAGAATATACCTTTCTTTGATGATTTCTTCTTTTCTTCTACAATTTCATCATCATCTAAATCATCCATATCTTCATCCGACTCTGCATATTTCTTCTTGGCCTTTGCAGGAGGTGCTAAAAATATATACCTCAAAAATAATTTCTTGATTACCAACAAAATAAAATGGAAACTATAAAACTAAGCAATACCCCATGTAGACATACATTTCAAATAAAATATTCAGATGCATCAAATAAATAAACACATTAGTATTGGAGTATGTTAGATAAGGCCTCAATAATATTAATATTTAATTACTGTTAACACAAAGTATAATAGTTTCAACAAAGACTAAAAGGAAAATATCTTCATATTGGAAAATTTAGCAGTGCTCTCATGACATCAGAATCAATTTCAATTTTTTCCAAATTTTCAAGAACTGTTTTGAAAACAGGCCAATTCAGATTTTTTTCAGGACTTAAAACATTTGGCGCATGCATAGCCCATAAGATCTTGTAACATTATGACTGTTACTGCAAATAACATATCTCCCATGAATGTTTAGTTTGACTTACCCTGCACTATATGTTTCCTGGGCCTAAATTTAGTTGACATCCAGACGATTTTTTTCAAAATTTCCCCACAATATCTTTTTTTTTTGTCTACTTTGGGTGTAAAAGTGAACATTTCATAAAAAAAAATTCTATTACAATCTACCTATTTCACTTTCTCATTATTTACTTGTAAACTTGAAACACTTTGTCTTGAAATTATGGACTTGATATTGAGGGCCACATAAATTCTTTACCCGCACCTATGCCTTAATCCCTGAATATTATATTAGATTTGTAATCACACACATTAAATTGTTTATTGTAGTATTGGTTGAATGGATTATTTGTTTTGTCTTTCCCATGAAATTTACCTCTCTTTTTTGATTTCTTCCTTTCTTCTACATAATCTTCATCATCTAAATCATCCATGAAGTCTTCATCAGACTCTGTATATTTCTTCTTGACTTTTGTAGGAAATGGTAAAACTATAAAATTCAAAAATAAATTATCCAATGACAAAAACAAGAATGTGTCCATAGTACACTGATACCCCACTCGCACTATCATTTTTTATGTTCAGTGGACCGTGAAATAGGGGTCAAAACTCTAATTTGACATTAAAATTAGAAAGATCATATCATAGGGAACATGTATACTAAGTTTCAAGTTGATTGGACTTCAACTTCATCAAAAACTACCTGAACCAAAATCTTTAACCTGAAGCGGGACAGACAGACAGACAGACGAACGAACGGACACACAGACCAGAAAACATACTGCCCCTACTACTATCGTAGGTGGGGCATAAAAAAAGAAATTTCCCACTTTAAATCAATTTGGTTATACAATTTACATGCAAAATATACAAACTTGACCTTTGTTAAAATAATAAATTGATTAAAAAAAATGGACTAAAAATCTAATCAATGAAATATGTAAACCTAAAGTATACAAACAATTTTTTAATTCTGTAAACAACCATTTTACTATACGAATAAACTTTTGCCAAGTTTATCTGGTATACAAACATTGTCTACTGGTATCCAACTTCTATTGTGAGCGAAAGAACAGCAATATTCAAATAACTGTTTACTTTAAAGTTAATTTGGTATCCTCCCCATGGTCTATGCACAAGATATGTTGATTTCAATTGAACAACTCAGACAAGAGCGAAAAACTCATCAATGATACCAGAATTATAATTTTGTACACCAGACACGCAAAGAACTATAACTACAGACATATTAGACATGTGAATATTTTATTGAAGGATTAAAACAATATACATACAATTTCAGAAAATATACAAAACTGTTTTGTACTCAATACAACACAGGAGAAGAAACTCAGCTAGTCTTGGTTTTGTTCCTGTTACTAAAGCTTTAACAAATAAATTATATATTTCCTGACAAAGTAAGTTTATTGTATATTTATTTTGACCGATTTATTACCCCTTTTCTTCGGTGGCTTCTTTTCCTCCACATAATCTTCATCATCAAAATCTTCATCAGATTCAGGTTGTTTCTTCTTAGCTTTAACTGGAGTGGCTGCTGTAAATAAAATGACATCAACAGTAAAATACAGAATATTTTTGCACAGAAACATTTTTGATATGATCAATCTTAATGTTCATATGATCCTTTCTAATTTTTTTTAAATCTGTTTGCATTCTGTCCTATAAATAGTTCAATATACAGTCAGAGGTCAAAAGTGTTTCACACCTTGAAAATTGAGCTATGTATTTAGCATAAAAAAGAGATTTAACAAAAATTTGTCCTTAAGGTAATGAGGTAATTTTTCATCTGATTTGAATGAAAGTTTTACCATGAAATACAGAAATGTCTGCAGGTTCTTTTTTGAAATATTAATTTGAATTATATTTTTATAAAGAAATCATTGTTTAAAGACAGTATATGGTCATTTGTTTTACACAAGTTCAATTCATACCAGAACATAAGAATTATAACTTTTGTATGATCAATGTTTGCAAATCTTAAAAACATATGATACAGTCTTGTACAAGAAACAAATTCAAGATGGTGACAACCCATAGATACTCAATTAAAAGTGACTACCTATTTCAGGTATACTCTTATTAAGAAATCACTAAATACGAGACTGATAAATATTTATAGAAATATAAAAGTAAATAAAATGCTCCGCTCGGCACAGCTTGATACGACCGCAGAGGTCGAACCCTGAACAGTTGGGGCAAGTATGGACACAACATTCAAGTTTGATACAGCACTGAATTTGGATTGTGATTAAATATTTGACACAGCATAGGTTTCTGACACAACATGAATGTGGTCTAAGAACTTAAAATTTTTTAATTTACCTATTATGGTCCAATATCCAAAATCTAAATACATACACGGTTAGATTCAGCATATCAAAGAACCCCAAGAATTCAATTTTTGTTAAAATCAAACAAACTTTAATTTTGGACCCTTTGGACCTTAATGTAGACCAATTTGAAGACGGGACCAAAAATCAAGAATCTAAATACATGGTTAGATTCAGCATATGAAGAACCCCAATATTTAAATTTTTGATGAAATCATACCATATCATTATAATTTGCTTTTATATATAAATAAAAAATAACCAACTTAAAATGGAAAATTTTAAAGGAAAAAAAAAAAAGGCAGAAAAAAAAAGGAAAAAAAAATGCCCCCCCCCCCCCCAATTTTTTGAACCCACTTATGATTCATCATCCCCAAACTCAATCCCAGCCTTCCCTTTGTGGTATGGTACCTTGCAGTACAATTTCAGAGAGTGCCATACACTTACACACAAGTTATTGTCTGGAAACTAGAAATATGCTTATTTTTGGCCCCTTTTTGGCCCCAAATTCCTAAACGTTTAGGGCAATTACCCCCAAACTCAAACCCAGCTTTCCCTTTGTGATATGGAACCTTGTAGTACAATTTCATAAAGATCCATACATTTACACACAAGTTATTGTCCTGAAACTAGAAAAATGCTTGTTTTTTTGCCCCTTATTCCTAAAATTTTGAGGCAATAACCCCCAAAATCAATCCCAGCTTTCCCTTTGTGGTATGGTACCTTGCAGACCAATTTCAGAGAATTCCATAGACTTGAACACAAGTTATTGTCTGGAAACTAGAAAAATGCTTAGTTTTTGCCCCTTTTTGGCCCCTTATTCCTAAACGTTTTGGGCAATTACCCCAAAACTCAATTCCAGCCTTCCCTTTGTGATATGGAACCTTGTAGTACAATTTCAGAAAGATCCATACACTTACACACAAGTTATTGTCATGAAACTAGAAAAATGCTTGTTTTTTGCCCCTTTTTTTTGGCCCCTTATTCCTTAATTTTGAGGCATTTACCCCCAAAATCAATCCTAGCATTCCCTTTGTGATATGGAACCTTGTGGTACAATGTCAGAGAGATCCATACACTAACACACAAGTTATGTCTGGAAGTTACAAAAATGCTTATTTTTGGCCCCTAATTCCTTAACTGTTGGTACCATAGCCCCCAAAATCAATCCCAACCTTCCTCTTGTGGTATTGAACCTTATGGTAAAATTTAATAGAGATCCATTCACTTAAACTAAAGTTAGAGTGCGAAAACCAATGTGTCTTCGGACGACGACGACGCCAATGTCATACCAATATACGACCACAAAATTTTTTTGCGGTCATATAAAGAGATGGGTTATGATTGCCAATGAGACTGCATGCTCTTTTGACACTTGAATATGTACAAACATAGGTTGCATATGATGTAGCTATTTGGCTTCTTTCATTTATATTCAGTTTAAACAAGTGATTGAAGCATTAAAGGAAAAAATGGTTACTGTTAAAGTACAGAGGGTCTTGAAACAGGGTTTAAATTGATACAGATCGAAAGAAAAATCCTATTTAGTGACGAGTGACTGACTTGGTTAGCATAAATTTACTGTAAATTTTTTTAATATTTTTGAAAGATACATTGTTAGCTGCTATAGGATCCTTTGGAATTTCTGTTTATATGATGAGTTAACATGTGTAATATGAAATGTTGTTCTAAAGGCCATTATTTTTTTTGGGGGGGGGAGGGGGGGTGAGGGGTGGTTAATTAAGATTTTTATGTTAATATCAAATTAATAATGGCGTCAAAACTGTTCAAATTTTTTGAAAACACTGAATTTTTCATAAATTTTCAATGTCTTGCTTGCTCCAATACAATACCCATTCAACAATTCCACCTTGGATCACTGTTTCAATGATCAAGATGTCTGTGTGTGGAAAGCCTTGGATGACATCCTAATTTTGTTAAAATCAAAACCAAGTTTTGCCTTTTGGGATGAATTTCTTGGTGAAAAAAATCAAAGCAGTATTGCATGTCAGAATAACCAAGTGGTAGAAAGTATGAACCTCCTAAAAGAACTAAGGTGACAAAGCAAATTATTTTGAGTGCTCTCATTAAAGGAGGTCTATATGGACTTTTATCATTCCTGGTCCACTTTATGGTTTCTTGCTAATTATATTAGACTACAATAGGAAAAGACAGGCCTTAAATTTCTGTTTAGCACCTGTTTAAGGTAGATTCACTCTATACCGCCATCTTGGATTGTACAATAGCAGTACACAATCGGTCTAGTTCTTTGCCTAAATCTTCAAATTTTGAGACAGATTTGCAATTGATATGTAAGACTACTTATTTGTATAAAGTAAAATAGGTGATTCATTGCATTATCGAAAATGTTTAAACAAAACCAAATATTTATGTTTTTAGAATCAATTTTTCAACTTGGCCATTTAAGGGGAGATAACTCTTATAGTAAAAAAAAATTATACTGGAATGATAGTGAAATTTTCATTGCTGACTTGGGCCAATTAAAATTAATTGATAGATTTTCATCCCCACCCGCCCCTTGGAAATCGTCCCGCCCCAATTTTTTTTATTTTTCAAAATTTACGATTTCCAGATTTTGTCCATTTCTGTTACCGGTAACCGCCGATTATTTCGTTTCATTCAAAACTTCCTGTTTCAAATTTCGGTTTTCGTATTTCTTTGTGTAAAACAATATAAGTCGACTTATTCTTCTGCTCAATGATGACAACATTATCTTCTGAGAATATAGATTGATTACTAGACGGGCATGAAATATTCGGGTTACAAGTAATAGGCGGTGTCCAAAAACGCTAATCGCTGTATGTCACAAATTTCAGTGATTGGAAGGATTTTTTTATTAATACAATGACTTTGTGTCAGGAAATTTGGACTGTGAATGATATTCAAAGTGCAAGAATCGTGGAACACATTGATACAAACACATGACTGGAATAAAGTAATTGACACAAGCACAAACTTGTGCGATTTATGACCGTATATTGAGTACAAAGAGTTGGCCAATGTACAAAATGTATTATAGCAAGCCCTTAGATTTACCGAGAGGCTGTCATTTTTGTTGACAAACAGCAAACATACTCTGTCCCCAGCCCCTCAATAGAGTTGTTATACAACTTCTTCTTTTTGGTTCAGTTCATGCATGTTTTACATTGTAATAATATTTGCACCTTGCATGAAAATCTTAAAAGCATCAACCCTAGTACATTGTAGTATTTTCAACACAGTTTGAGTTTTCATTTTACTCTGTACTCATATCATGTGGTTTGCATACCAATGCATATGCTTCATTTTTATGGGCACTACAAATTATAGCTTAGAAAGCAAAATAAATTTGATCAAGGTAGCCTAAAAGAGAACATTTCTCCATGTTTTTTCTATTTACTAAAAATAGGTTTCTAAAGCGGCAATTACATGTAGAACAGTGGTTGCCAATCAGAAATATTTAATTTAAGAATTTGAAAAATAATGTAGAATTCCTTATATATACATGATATAAGCTTATTTTTACCCTTGTATATGAACAACACGTCACAAAAGGGTTAAGAAGAAAATAAAAAATAAAAAATAAAATCCTCCCACCCGCCCCATTTAAAAAAAAAATCTGGATGAAAATTTACTAATTAATTTTAGTTGGCCTTGTAGCAAGAAAACAAGTTCGGTGACACCATTTTTTCTTTTTATTTTCTTAAAGCATATTATAAAACCTATCTTTTCATACTTTATTTCAAAACTCTATCTCTTAGATTTCTTTTTATTCACAAAAATGTGTTTTTTCATGAACAATCTATATAAATTTGGGCTATTTGCACTACTTGTAGCTTGAAAAATAGCATGGTGACCCATATTTTTTATTATATTTTTGAAAAGAGCATTGGAAAATCTTCATTTTGGCAAAGTATAAAAAAATTCTATCTAGGAAATATATACCAATGATCCACCTTAACAGATGTTCAATACTGCTTTCTTCTGGATGAAGAAACTGTATGCCTGTAATATGTCATTGTACTGACAAAAAGAAAATAATTTTACCTGCACGTTTTGGAGCTGCTTTGACAGGTGATTTACTTGGGGGAGATAATTTGGCTGACTCAATCAACCATTTGGGTAGTGTTCTTTTCTTGTCTATTGGTAATGCCATATCCTTTCCTCCAGGGGGTTTGACAATTTTCTCATCATTCTGTAAATATTATGAAGCGCTCTTGAATCATCAGTTTAACATATGAACAATATTATAACAGGTATTTCAGGGATTCACACTGGTAAACACAAAAAGAGATTAATACATTTTATGGCCTTTTTATACTTCATAAAATATCAAGTATATGACAACTATTTCTCATCAGAGTTTAGCAAATGAAGTGTTTAACTTTTTGATGCAAACAGGTAACTCATACATTTATTGACCCCATGAAAAACTTCCAAGTTTGTTTAAGACCTAGAAAGTTGATTTGATTAGATGTTCAGATGCATGTTTAGATGCACAGAACATTTTCTGTATGTCCTGATTTTTTAGATAGGTTTCTGGTTTACAATTGTTTTTCAAATTTTTAACTTTTATGCAAAATAACACATTTAAATGAATGGTGTTCTTAAATGGTTTACCTGTAATAAGAATATTGTTTATAATCAAGCTATATTGTGACAATTTGGAATCACTCAGGTCAGATAAAAAATTTAGTTCATCTTCAATTTATGCTTAACAGAAGAGCAAGTTTATTTACTGCTTCTCTGCTAAGCACACAGCAGTTTGGAGCAGGAGCAAAGAATTTTTGGTTAGGGGTCAATATTATGCACCAAGATATGGTGAAATGTCCTTCAGGGAACTGTTAATTTGTTACCTAGCACATTTAAAAATTCGGCCCTGTGTATGTCTAGTATGAAGCACTGTATATCATACAACACTGAAATGTTATCATTCTGAATATGCATGCAAAATTTTATGCTGCATAAACATCAATTAATTGTCTTTAAAGGAAATTGTGGTGAATTTTTTTTTTATTATCAGTGTACTTCTACTCACCTTATGTGGGTCTTTTTTCTTTGGTTTGGGTTCTGAAAATATAGATGTTGTATTGGAAAGCTGTAGTTTTTTTCTTTTTTTTTTGTTAAGTTAGGATCCATTATTAATATTACAGTTAATAAGATTTACAGTAACTTTTATGAGGGTCAATCGATCAAAAATAACTGTTTGAAAAGTACTGTGAATTCAGAAATTATTGCGAATAATGCGACTGGGTGTTAATCACAATTATAAGAACTTGCATTCTGATATCTGATACATATAAGTGTATACAGATTTTTCTGAAATAGCAATAATGAATCATGCATTTTTGTCCTTTCAACAAAAACTGCAATTATAAATGCACACAATAAATTCTGAATTTACAGTACTTGATTGATGCAATATTTTTTGCTCATCTTATATAACAAATAGAGTATGCATATGCAAAAGTCTACTTAACGACAATAAATAACTTTTTACAAGAGACCTGATATCAACAGGTATAGTCTGTCATATAATAAAAAGAATACAGTTCCCCTTGAAAGTTTAATACATGTAATTGGAACTAGATCTTGTAGACAGATATATCATTTAGTCATTACTAGTTACTGAGGCAAGACATTTCTGTGTGTCTATTCTTGTTAGTGTATGCATTGGCAGGGCATAATCTATTAAAGAAAGTCACGTGAAGAGTTACATATATATCAATAAGAAGATAATTTTTAAGTAAATTTATATACCTTCTGATTCCTCCTTCTTTTTTTCTTTAGTTTCACTGTAAAAAAAGCACAATTGTACTAAGGGCTATTCCAGAAAAAAATGTATGGGGGGGTTAGAAGGCACTTTATATTAATAATACTTGGGTGTCAGAGCAACTTTTCACACTATAATGCACTATGATTCTCAATTACAATTGTCTGGGTTGTGGGTGCTGACAAAAACTGCCTTCCAACCCCCCATACATTTTTTTCTGGAATAGCCCTAAATCAAATTTTTGTATTTTATTAACCGATATCCATTTTCAAAATAATTTATTTTCTAAAAAAATGTCTGAAAAATATAAAATAAAATCCATTAAGTCTATACTAGAATTCATTCTTATTTCATCTTGAGTCTAAAAAACCATTTACCATCCCCTTAAATGTTCCATATATATAGTGTATAAGAATAAGACTTAAGTCGCTTCACAGGAATAAAGACTAGAAATGTATAACATCCCATTAACAAACCTTTTTTCTGATCCATTGACAAGGCTGTATTCCACTTTGTAAAACAATTTATCCGGCAATAATCCAAAAATATCTCCATCTTTAAGTTCTATTCTAACATCTTTAGTTAATGATGATGGCAACTCGTCATCTTCATCCTTCTTGTAAAAACAAGGATTACCATGCGTCTATACAAAAATATAAGGAATATGTTAAGGTCACAAAGTGTGTGTCCAACGACCTCTGAAGCGTGTTTATGGCAAAAAAATTAGTATTCACAACAAACAAGTGCAAAAACTTTTACTGCATCTTTAATATTCTCAGTCAAAAATATTTATTCACTTGAACAATATAAACTACAGAAATCTGCGAAGAAAATTAACTAAATAAAGTGCTGTTCCTTTGCTTTTTATGTGGTTTTGCTGTGCATGTACTGATTTTGTATCATGGATGGATACCCCATATCCTTTGTTTTTCTATTATTTTAATTAAACATGAGGTGAACACATATTTTATACACATCTTGGTGGGTTTAAAGAGATCATATCAAGGCTTAAAATTTATTTATTGTATTGTTTATTATAATTCAAATTTTATCATCATCAAGATTAAATTTCTGGCAAATAATACAAGGGGGAAAAAGAACAACAGGGACAAGATGTTGCTTAACAATTTTGAAGGTTTTATGCTTTTTTTTTACTTATTAAAGAACTCTCTTAACTTAAATGCAGCAATAAAAAAATACAATTACTTTATTCAACTTCTTGGACAATAACAATGATTAGTTGCATTAAAAAGCAATGTTGAGAGGTAGATATCAAATCTAATGCTTTTGATATTTGATTATTATATTACAGAGCTGTATGAACAGAACCGGTTCAGTGAGGAATATTACACAGGTTATTTAAATTAATTCATAATTTAGTCAAAGATAAAATATACTATGGATTCATTTATTTTTGTTGGTATCAATTTTCATGGATTCAATGAGGGAAAATTGTATTTTCGTGGATGATTGATTTCATGGCTTTTCAAAAGTCTGCATACAAACCTATAGAAAATTTGTTCTTCATTCACATTTTAATTCGTGCTTCACCTTTACCTAGTTCATATATACACATTTGACAAAATCAATAAAAATTGGTATCCCAGGAATATTAATAAATCTTCAGTATCACTTGCCACATGGCATGATACAAATAAATTCAATAACTTCATCAGATACTGTCAGAGCATATAAATTAATCTTGCTAAGTTTCATAATTTCAGATAACTCAAGGTTATAGATATACGTCATCTTTAATTAAAGAATACTCACAGGTGTTAGATATAACTTATTATCTTCTACATCTAAAATTCCATGATTTCTGGATACTCTTTTATCTGATACCTGCAAAAATACAAATATTTATACTCTCTTACACACTACAAAAAGTGTTCAATACAGTTGTAGTTAAACGGCTGTCACTCACAAAAGCTACAGTATAATCAGTATACAAAGTTATAACAAGACCAATACTGAGTTCAGACTTGCATCACTGCATGAATTGATTAAGGTAATATATAGACTGAAACATCACTGATCATTCCCTTTCAGTAAAGCCTAGAAAACTTTGAAGAAAATTTTCCTCATAAAATGAGTGTAGTAAAATTTCAAACTACCAACACATAGGAAGTGGCTGCATGGGAGATTTAAATTGCTCCCCTGCTACAACCCAACATTTTGATGATGATGATGATGATGATGATGATGATGGATGGCTGCTTAACGTCCAGTGGCAAATTAATATGCATATTCAGGACAAGAACATGTTAATGTAATATGAGTATTTACACTGCTTTGTACTAGACCGACACACTGAGCCGGATTTTTAACGTGCTAGTTCACAAAGTAACAGTCCGCAGGAAGATATGTCACCTTAACCAGACACATTATTCTGACTCCGACCCGACCAGTCTTTGATCTTACTCTTTAATGCTGCTTGCTTAGCAGAGAAGCAGCAAATACCAATTTTAAAGTCTTTGATTTGACCTGGCTGGGGTTTGAACAAATGACCTCCCTCACTTAGACAAACATGCTACCACAAAACCACTGAGGCGGTCCCAACATTTAGAAGCTGCTGACCAAATATAAAATCACTCCCTTTCATACAAGCCAAGAAAAGTTTGACAAGTTTTCTATCAAAGTGTTAGTGTTAAGAACAGATGCAGTCGTGTGTTTTATCATGATAAATTGCTGTGAGAATGACAGCTATTTATTCTTTTACATGTATGAAGAAGGCATAGCTTGAAAGACAATCTCAGAATTTGTTAAAAAACTGTTGTAATATGACCTCTAAAAATCCTTGTTTTGTTTGGTTGCTGTCACACTGACGAACATGAGGTGAGGATTGAGTTTACAGAATAGAGAATAAAGGGCAAAACAAAAAAAAAAACAAAAAATGGGCAAAAAAATTCAAGAATAGAGAATAATGCGTTTCTAATATAAATTAGAGAATCAATAACAGGGGTCATAATAATCTATGTCAGGATTATAGATCTGCAAGTACCGCATCATTTGTATGTACAATATTTAATATTTCAAAGTCTTTCATGTTACTGGATAATTTTATTTCAAAACACATGTTAACAGTTTTATTATTCTCAGAAATCAAATATAATGATTTTATTGTGTTAAGTCATTTTACAGTATCTATAAATATAAATAAAAATATAGAGAATGAAATAGAGATGTGTGCATAATGTACATACATGTACGATGGCGACACTACAATTTGGAATTTAATTTTATTTGCAAAAAAGGAAAATATTGTTTTTTCGAAAGACAATGAAAGACATGGAAGAGGTGCAGAAAAAAAATGACTACGGGAAACCCTGAGTGTTGTTGTAATTACTTCAGAAAATGTTGCATTTACCTCACAGAGGTATAGAAGCATTTACACTTGTATGCAAATGTGGCTGCCATAACTTAAACCACTAGTACAAGTTCACACAAAATATTGCATCACAATTTAAAACATCTGATGTCATAATCAAAAAGTAATTGTTACTTGACATCGAAAGGTTACTCAAGTGTGAATACATTTATTCACCTAGGCATGCTCCCAAATTAGCACAAAATTAATCAAAAACAGCCTGAATTATGACAGACTGGCCCCTGTCAAGGTGTGCTCTCAAACTGTAAAGTTCGGTAAATCTTCATTTCGAGCTTATAAATATAGCAAAATTAAGCAAAAATAAACTGTTGACACAGAGATATGTCTCGCCTTTTTGTTATTTTGATAGTAAAATGCAAATGTTGAAATTAAAATAGCAATACTTTAATATGTAAAGTTATGCAAAATATTCAAATTCAATGAACCATGACTGAAGGCATTACAGGGCCAAACAATCTCCATAAAAATGAGATGTGCTAATGCTAATACATGTGCATACAAAATATCATTGTCCTTCCACTAGTGGTTCTCCATAAACTGACCTAATAACGAACTAGTATATGTAAACTAAGTGAAAGTTTCAAAGTCAATAGACCATGACTGAGGGGGTGGGGTCAAATAATTTCATGGAAATGAGATGTGCCAATGCTAATACAACTGCATACCAAATATCATTGACCTACCACTAGTGGTTCCCCATAAACTGACCTAATCACAAACTAATACATTGTTGACAACGCTGCCAACGCCGGAAACAGCATACCTATGTCTCGCTTTTTGACTCCAACAAGGTGAAACAAAAATTATCTCCCACTGAGATTCTTTTAAAAGGAAATTTCGTCTCTTGATTAATAATTGAAAGCATAGTCTTTAAACTTTACAGGCATAATTAAGAAATATAGCTGAATATTTGTGTGTACATAATTTAAACTTTTATCATGATTTTTTTGAGTATTTTTCTAAAAAAAAAAATTGCAGAAATATTGTTAGTTTTGTCTGCAAAGTTTAATATTGCACTTTCACTAAATAAATGAGAAACTAAAATTTCCACTCATTAAAAAAACAAATCAAAGGGAGATAATTTGTTAACCGATTGAGCTATATTATTTAGCTCAAGCTGCAAATATAGAACCGGACTTTCTGACCTGTATTACCTTCAAGAAAGAGCCACGTCCAATTTTTATAGTTTTTTCGTCCGGAAGATCTATACTCTCGCCATCATCCAAAGATACAAGGGTAATTATAGACATAGTGGCATAATTTTGGGAGCCAGAGGTGAAACTAAAACGTTGCTTGACGACTTTTCTGCGCTGCAAATAATCGTGTAACTGCTTCTTCACTTCCTGTCAAGTTTGAATTTGCAAAATTAGGGATGCATCAAACTACTGCAGAACAAATTAAGTAATGCATTAATTTCAATGATGTCAGTTTGTACAGTGAAAGACTTGTAAGTTTTTTAATCAGCGTGGGTAACCCGTCTTCCAGTGTGTAGTAAATGTACCTCAGAACCAAGAGAGCTTTGTGGAAGGGTCTCACTAATACACCTTATCGCTATTTGTCCGCCATTACTGGACATCCCACAAGTTCCCGTAAAATTTTGACGTCATAATAGAAAATGTCTGACGCCACAATGGAAAAATGATTGTTGTATGACGTCAAAAGTTCGAGCGGGACAGATTCTCGGGTCAAGCGGGATTAGCGATAAGGTGTATTAGAGACAAGAAGCGTCAAGAAGCGACAAGAAGAATAAATCTAGCGACAAGAAGACTATTTAGCGACAAGAAAACTTTAAAAAAATATTATTAAAATAAATATATTAAAAAAAATATGCATTGACAGCAATAAAGAGATTTTCATTTTTTTTTATTATATTGATAGATGAAGAAATTAATCGGGGTCAAGAAGACATTTGGAGGTTTGCCTGTGATCTGAACAATTTCTTTCAAAGAATTAATATTGATGACAGCTTGCATATATCATCAGCAATATTTGTTTGTTTAATAGGATATGTACCTATGTATTCTGCTATTGTTTTATTCATGGTTTCAAGAGAATGGCCAGGCATTTTTTTCGAACCAGCTGATTATTTTCTTGTAAGAATTACTTCTTTTCATAGAAGCACAATGACGCTTAAGGATGAACAAGTTAGAATCATGGTTGGAGTAAAGGACGTGTATCCCTTATTGTATTGCTACAATAACATTCAATTATCACCTATAACTTTGTACACGCGTCAGACTATACAACTACACGCGCCAGAATATACAATAATTGTAAATAGTGAGCAACTGTTGAACACTCAACATTGTCTTTAATTACCTTTAATCTTCAATCAACTTTAAACTATGCATAAACATCATACATATCGTTTGATAAGTCAATACCCAAATAAAATAGGCACTGGCTACGGTTACATGGAAATGTAACAATAATAAAAATATTATTGTTACATTGGAGACTAATTGCCGGAATACAGGGTTGGGTAAGGATCCGATTAATTACGAATGTAACAATAATTATTGAGTCTACGGTTACATTGTGTTATTGTTACAGTAATGCACTTTTTGTTAATGTACGCTAGATTAATTAAACGTAAATCTTCTATAGTTGTGTTGCTTATTTTTTTTTTTTCGCCAATAAGAATGAAATTACTATCACAAAATATCTGGACTCTGAAAATGAAAACACCGATTCCACCAGTTTCAACATGTCGGCAAATTGCCTTCACAATTGACTTGTATTTTTATTTTCTATTGGGTTTTTCAGCTTTGCTAAGTTGGATATAGAAATCGGAGGTGAACATAAAATCAGTAATGGACGGTAATGAAATCATATTACAACCTCACATTATATATGCTTCCAACAAAAAAAATGGATGAAAATATAAACATCGCAAAAAGGATTTATATATACAAATCCTTGATCGCAAGAGTAAAAAAATATTGAAAATTTCTTTAACTTTAAAAAAGTATAAAACAGAATGGAATTGTACAGTATGAAATACAGACGAGCAAATTGCTGCATCACTCGTTTGTGATGGCTGCTTGGTTTCACCAGGATTCGTCGGACTAAAACATGCTCCCCAAAACAACATATTGGATTTGAAGAAACTGAAAAATTGCAAATGAAATTTTAAAAATTGTATGCAATTTTGTAAAATTCAAATAAAACTTTTCATGTTTTATTTTATTACATATTACTAGTCACCCAGCGTACATTGAAGTGAATTAATGTAACAATAACGCAGTGTAACCGTACTAGACTCAATAACTATTGTTACATTCGTAATTAATCGGTTCCTTACCCAACCTTGCATTCCAGCAATTAGTCTCCAATGTAACAATAATATTTTTATTATTGTTACATTTCCATGTAACCGTAGCCAGTGCCAATCAAATATTCACGTTTTAGTAACATTATCTTTTCTGGACAATGATTCACGTATAATGCATTTTGCATGCAGTCAGTTTATTATATTTTAGACAAAGAGAGTGTTAAAAAAATTATAAAATAAATATATTATTGTTCTAAAACACAAGAACATGTAAAAACTAATATCATACTATGACAGGGAAATTTCTATATTTATCAATATCTATCAATATATTTAAAAACAAATGAAAATCACTTTACTTTCCGTATATTAAAATAAAAATGTCAATGCATATTTTTTAATATATTCATTTTAATAATATTTTTATTAAGTTTTCTTGTCGCTAAATAGTCTTCTTGTCGCTTCTTGTCGCTAAATTTATTCTTCTTGTCGCTTCTTGACGCTTCTTGTCGCTTCTTGTCGCTAAAATTCTTCTTGTCGCTAATTAGTGAGACCGTTGTGGAACGATGTATCTTATAACCTAAAACTAATCACTAACTGACACACAACTGTATTTGAATGCAACATTTTATAAATGTAATTTAGCTCACTGCCGTAGAAGCCGGTGGGGGCAGAAGGGGGATTCCCCCCTCCTACTTTTTGGGCATTTTTTTTTTATATTGAAAACAAAAAAATACAAGTTTAATCTTTCCAAAGTATCAGGTTTTTTTTTCAGATTTTAAGAAGCCGAAAAAAGAACTTTTTTTCAGAAGTATTATTTTTTTTGAATACTATTTGGGTTTCAGTTTCATTAGTTTTAGTTTTAATACATAAAATGTGGGAATATGCTCCGTTCTAAGGGTCACGAATACACTGGGACTTTGAAAGCAAAAAAAAACATGAAATGGTGGAACTCACAGGCGCTTGCATGGGTACAGGATTTTGATATTTTTTTCTTTACTGTATTGAATGTTCAATTTTCTATTTTTATATCACATACTGTCTGTTTCTGTCGGGTAATAGCCTCCTTCAGCAAATTGAAGATTCTGCTATATTAGAGTTTTTGTTTACTTAACACTACCAGAAAAATATTAACATAATAGGGGGGGGGGGGGGGGGTCGGACCTTTATCGGGACTCCGGGATCGGGTGTTTTTAAGCTCGGGATTTCGGGATTGATCCTTTCGGGATCCGGGAATTCTTTTTTCGAATTTCGGGATGTCGGGATTTAAATTTCTTTAAATTCGGGACCTCGGGATTTCATGTTTTTAAGCGCGGGATTTCGGGATCAGGACCCCTCCGATCCCCCTCATAATACAATATTGTATTACAGAGGCGGATCCAAAAGGGGGGTCCCGGGGTTGGAACCCCCTTTTTTTGACGATCAATGCTTTTGAATGGGGGACATATGGTTGGAAGCCCCCCCCCCCCCCTTTATCCTGGGTTGGAACCCCCCTTTTAAAAATGGCTGGATCCGCCCCTGTATTATATTTGCTTGTCACAAGTTTGACTCCTTTTTCAGTCTGCTCCTACGCCACTGTTGCTTTAGTATAGTAAAATCTTCATATTACAGACTTTCAACACGAATTCAATCATAAGTAAAACAGGCGAGATATTTCAGTGTGTGCATTCTTGTTTCGTTTTTCTGAGACTAAGTTAACCAATGCCTTGTGATGGTTTAATTCAGAAGACTCACATTGGTATGCGGCGAATTCACTAACCATCGGTAAATTATCTTACCTATAAAAGTTGACTGAATGTGAGAGTTCGAACTGAACATGGTTTTTAGGACATAGAATTGAATTTTCAAGAATTAACACATACATGTATATTTTTTTTTTGTCACAATTTATAGTACATTACAGATCTACAAATAAGTCAAATGGCCGAAGTCGTCAGTCGACTTCTTTTAGTAGTTATTACCTTTAAATGACTATTTTTACCATTGGGAAGGGGGGAGTTTTTACTTATTATCTAGAAAACTATAATTATAGTAATCTAATTTCTTGGACATACCATTATTGCTTTCTATAGTCTCAGAATAAATATTAGAATCTTTAAAAAGCAAAAATAATCAGTCGACATAATATTGTGCTGTTTGGGGACATTTAAAATTTTGAATTGTGTCTTTTGTCTGCATACTTAATACAAGTATCACATCAACTTAACATTATCAATCGATCCATGAAAATGAAGTCACAGACATGTACACATAACAATCATTCCATACACCAAATATAGTAGTCGCTTAAAGTACATGAGAAACAGATCAACCAGAAAATCGTAACATTTACCAATGAACCATGAAAATGAGGTCAAGGTAGTATGAATCCTGCCATACAGATTTGTACACCTTACAATCATTCCATAATTTTAATCCAAATATAGTTGACCTCAGCTATTGATTATAGTAACTGATAAACTGACATAAACACAGAAACTTGTCATTGACCAACGAACCATGAATGTAAGTCAAGGTCATATGAGACCTGCCAGACAGATATTTGTTCTCCGTTCATTGTTTTGTACATTAATCAGGCCGTTAGTTTTTGCGTTTGAATTGTTTTATATTTGTCATTTCGGGGTCTTTTATAGCTGACTATGCGGTATAGGTTTTTTGGTCATTGTTGAAGGCCGTACAGTGATCTATATATATGTTGTAAACTTCCATGTCATTTGGTTTCTGGTGGAGAGTTGTCTCATTTGCAATCGTACCACATCTTCTTATTTTTATATGTACACCTTACAATTATTCCATACACCAAATATACTTGACCAATTGCTTAAAGTATCTGAGCAATTGAGCAAACCACAAAAGCTAAAGAGTGTTCAATGAACCATGAAAATGAGATTAATGTCAGATGAAACTTGCATCTACGGGCATCTACACTTTACAATCATTCCATACACCAAATATAGTGGCCCTATTTCTTATAGTATGATCTGAGAAATAGACAAAACCCCAAAAACTAAACCGTGTGGCATTGTCCAACGAACCATAAAACTTGGGGTGAAGGTCAGATGAAACCTGCCAGTCGGCCATGTACACCTTACCATCATTCCATACACTATATATAGTTGACCTACTACTTATAGTATGCAAGAATAGTATCTGAGATACGGACTTGACCCCGTAACTTTAACCTTGATCACTGATTCATGAAATGAGGTCGAGGTCAGGTCAGA